CAAAACAAAACAAAACAAAACAAAAACAAAGAAACAAAAACGAAAACAAAAAAACAAATACGAAAACAAAGAAGCAAGGACAAAAACAAAGAAACAAAAACAAAAACAAAACAAAAACAAACAAACAAACAAACAAAAAGCAAAAAACAACAACAACAACAAAAAAACCATCGTCTACTGAAATTCACTTATATTTTCCAATCTTGTTGATTTTTTACTCCTTTTTTATGTAGGACATTATCTACACTACCTCGAATAAGGAAAAAGTATTTATCTAAATTAGTCTTATCTTTATTTCTATTAAAGGGCCGTTGGCATAACAAGTTATATGATGTAAGTACGCCTGCGTATCTTTTTATAATCAACCTTATAAGCCTCCGACTCCGGTTGGAAAAGAGAGACCGAAGAAGAACCCAAAATCCATCTTAAATCTTTGTTTAGATGACTGAATCCTATTTTGTTTCTCGTCCCAGGTTAAGTGGAATATCTCCATTTCTGAGCGAAAGCGAAGCCGAGACATTTGCCAACATTACTCATTGCAAATGGAGCTTCACTGAAGTGTTCAATGACGTCGGGGAGGAGGCTAAAGAATTGATTACAAAACTGTTAGTAAAGGAAAAATCGTAAGTACGACTTATCCTAAATTACATATCAAGTACATAATGCTAGGAAATGAGAAAAATTAGAAAAAAAACACATAAGTGAGTTATCACTATGTATTTTCATCTTACCTTCCTAAATATACCATCAAAATATAACTTACTATGAACAATAGCGTATACTCTTTTGCTATTTAACAATTAGACTAGGAGGTCGAGTTTTCTATGAGTCAATAGATAGTCGATGAGGCGCGTAGCGCCGAATCGACTATTTGACTCATAGAAACTAGTAGTCTAATTGTTTTAGAATAAACCTACTAGCTAATATTATAATATTGAAAACTAAGAATGATTGACACTGAAATCTTTACTGAACAAAACGACGGTCAACCGGCAGCACTGTTTTCATTCATCTTTGCGAACTCGACTCGTCAACGCGCAAATAAGCTTAAACTTGCTCTATTTCTATAGCATTTTGTCTCTATTATTACGCCCAAACCTCTCTTTCCAAGATTTTCCCCCTTTTTATCAGTTCTTGGGATCATTTTTCTGATTAATGAGTAATAAACTGAACGAATTTGTTTACAAATATTTTGTTGTCAGATCATTCAAAGCCGTACCATGTTTACAATTCGCTCTAGATTCTTGTCAGTTAACTTGCACTATCTTTATTGTTTCGTCTTTTCTTACCGTTTTTAAATTCTTCTTAAATACATGTGAATAAGTTTTCTTTTGGAATTTTTCTGTTCTTTGAGGAAATCCTTTTAAAATAACATCGTTATCTCAGTAGTCAGTTGTTTGTCCGTCGTACGTTTTGCTCTGAAAATCTCAATGAAAGCTGACGACCGCTTTTTCGTGTTAGAATTGCTGTAATTCTTCATTTTTCTATTTATCTGTACTGTCCGAAACCTCCATTCCTTTCCTTGATATAGTCTTGTCTTTTCTACAATCGATTTTTAAAGATTTTTTAGAGAACAAGCAGAGATTCCGCCGAAACTTGAGCATCCATTTGTTTGTTTTTCGTTACTCGCTATCTATCACAGGATGAGTATGTTAGCCAATCAGATTACAGGTGGATTCTTGATAGTATGTTAGTAGGTTTATGCTAATAAACAATAGAGATTTTACACTGTATCACGTGTCGGCGGTCATGCTAGATGGCAAAACAATAAAATCCATTTACTCTCGAGATTTAATTTTTTTCTCCTATATAAAACAATTGTATTGTTCCTGCCATCTAACACTAAGGCTTCTAAACTTTTTTTTATTCCCTACAATACAAATACAGAATTTATATTATTTCTGATTCAGGGGGAGGCTTAACGCAGGACAATGTTTGGAACATCCTTGGATAATGGTAAGAGTAAAATCACCACTTCGCTAG